AAACATGGATAAACCCACTTCTAAGTTATATATTTCAAAAATTCTAGTTGAGCCTCTGTACAGAGGTCTGAGTTATATACAGGCAAAATATTATTATAATAGAAGCATTTTTCGAAAAAGTTTGAAAAAAGTTTATTCTAAGTTAATTTTTAGCCGAAATATATATATATATATATATTGCACTTAAGTAATATTTTATTGTAATACTATTCTTAAAACAGTTTTATATACATTTTCTAATTTAAGTAACACTAAATATCATAAATATTATCCATTTATACGCTTTTACAAAATCACGGTTCCGAACGTAGTCGGATTTCTTTTAATCCTGTAAAGTTCCTTTTTTCTAAAAAAAAAAAAAAAATTGATTATTATATTTATTTTTATGTAATAAAGGTCATCGTATATTTTCTATAAAGTGCAAAAGAAATAGTAAGGACAATTTATGTTACATTACCTTTCCTCTCAAATTTTAGAATTTCTCTGACCTATCTTAATATTTATTTATAAAAATTTTGAGATTTATCAAAATAATTTAAAATATTTGTTTCTATAGGGAAAAAATTTGATCTGCGTAAATATCTTTTTTTCTCTCTCGTTTCTTTGAATGCAGTTTATAGTCAGCTAGCTATATCCAATTTGCAAACACTTGATATAATTTCGCATGTGCTTAGGGTTATGATCGAGTGGATTGAAGTCCAGTTTCTAGATTTTACCATGATGTCCCAAAGTCCTATTTCTCATTTTTATTCTAGGAGAATAAAGGAGCAAGAGCTCAAAGCTTCCACCTCATTGGGCATAGTCTGGGAGGACAAGTTTCTGGTTGGGCTGGAGAAAGAATTCCCAATTTAGGAAGGATTACTGGTAAGTACTTAAGGTATTAGTGAAACTGAACAGTGAATGCAAGAGATCACAGGGCAATGACTGTTCAGGAAGTTGTATAAAATGATTCGGACTACCCGACAGTTTCACACTCAATAGATATGACATAAGGGAGCTAACCGACTGATGATGCAAAATTCTACAAAGGATAGTTTTAAACATCAGGGAGCTATACCATTAGAATAAATAAAAACAATACCGAACAATTTTGAAAAGTGGTCAAATTACACTTTTATTCTCTGACTAAAAACTCCGCGCATGGAAAATAATCCAAATATAATTACACGTACTGTAATAACGTTTGCTAATCTAATTATTTTTTGAAATTGAGGCTTTACTATAATTCTTTTGTTTCTGTATTGTACTATCTTCTTAAATATTAATACGATTTCCTTTCTTTTGTTGTAAGTGGCAAATAATTTTAGTATACTGCCATGCGTTTTTTTTTTTTTTGTATTAATTCAGTGCTTCTCAAACTTTCAATATTTGCGACCCAATATTCAATCATGATTTTCATCGCACCCCCTTCATACAATAATAATGTATTGAATTCAATAATAATGTACTTTGACACGCTAAAGCTACAATACAACTTTAAGTTCTTAAGTGCCACCGGGGTGCATCAACGTCTCACGCTCAGCCAGTGCATTAATTGCCCCGGACGTATATATACGTTTTTCCGAAGTACGATCTTTTCTGTGTACTGTTATGCATAAAGTTATTCCGAAGGCTTTGAAGTGCAGTAAAAGGGCCTTAAGAGAGTTTGCGACTGATTTACTTATTTCAGAGGATTTTGCTTATTTATTCATTTTCTTCCCCTCTTTCCAATACACAACATTCGCTTGCCTACGTGTTAAAAAATGGTGGCATTGGGAGAGAATCGCGAAATTTTTAATCGGCATTTCAGGGATTAATCATAAGCCGTACAAATTATCAAGATAAGTGTTAATTTTCGTATATAATTTTGTATGTGACAAGCCCATGGGGTTCATGGTAATTATTAAATTTGTTCTTAACTTAGTATTTTGTTAAATTAACTATAAAATATATTGTGCAGTATATACTGATACATTTATAAGTGTATTTTATCAGAGTGTAAATGTGTGTTTTATTTTTTATTATCTTAGATTGTATTTTGTTT